CCACTACCATGCCCGGCTGATTTTTTGATTTATTGTAGAGATGAGGCCTCGCTGCCCAGGCCGGTCTCGAACCCGCAGGCTCAGGCAATCCACTCACCTCAGCCTCCCAAAGGCACAGGATTATAGGCTGAGCCACCGAGCCTGGCTAATTAACCAATTATTATGTGTAGATCTGTATGCTTTACATTTACTTTTTCATATTTATACATTTTATTTATGAAGAAACTAAAGCTTAGAGAGATTGAATATCTTCCATGGTCTCCAATTGCCCAGAGTAAGTGGCCCAGCCACAAAAATTTTGTTCTTTTTGGTGCATTCTATTCCCAAACAAGAAATAGAGAGCAGCTTTGGAATTGCCTGTAGGGTATGTTCTGTAGTTATCATTGGAGAATTTGAAAGTATAGTGTACTTGGGGACAGAATGCCCAGCCCAGATTAAGACAGTGCCTTTAGTGGAGAGAAAGGAAAGGGAAGATTTGAGGAATTAGTGAGTGCTCTATGGTTCTGTGCTTCTGACTGTCTTAGAAAGTAAAGGGAAATAATAATAGGTGTTATGCCTGAACTGAAGGACTAATCATGAGTGATTCAGGTAATTTGTTTGTTTAGAATTTTATTTTATGATAGACAATGAGAAATAGTGAACCCAGATTATTAAAATTACTAGAAAAATGTAATTTTTTGACAAGACAAAAGTTCAAGATGCCTTAAATTATTTACTTTATTTTTTTGTTTGTGTGAGATGAAATCTTGCTGTGTTGACCAGGTTGGTCTGGAACTCCTGGCCTCGAGTGGCCCTCCCACCTTAGTTTCCCCAACACCCCACCCGCCCAAGGAAGTGGGACTGTAGGTGTGCACCACCATGCCTGCCTAAATAATTTCTTGACAGAATTATCATTCATTCGTATATAGTTTCAGGCTTGTGTTTTCAAATAGTTCAAGTCTAAACGTTATAATTAAAATATTTTTTGTTATACAGCCCAGAACACCTCTGAGAAGAAATGTGATGAGACCAGAGTTATGATTTTCTCTTCATTTCGAGATAGTGTTCAAGAAATTGCAGAAATGCTTTTACCACATCAGCCAGCTATTAGAGTAATGACTTTTGTTGGCCATGCCTCAGGGAAAAGCACGAAGGGTTTCACTCAGAAGGAACAACTGGAGGTAACTATTTTTGTAGGTAATGAAAATAAAATTGATCAGCTTAGCACTTGTGTTTTTTTTTTTTTTTAACCCATTGGTTAACTGACTACTTAACAATAATTTTATAGTAAACTTGTAAATTAAAATAAGCATATTTTGAAAGACCATAAACAGTGTTTTATGTGGTTTTTGAAGCTTTCTTTGAAGTAAAGTATAATGACAAAGCAGAAAAACTCTGGAATCAGACCTAAGTTGGTAGTATGACGCTACCATTTCAGAGTTTTACTTGCTTGTCAGTTTTCCTTATCTGAAAACATATTTTATAGGGTTGTCACAAACATTAAATGAGATCTTATTGTAGAGCCATTAATTAATGTTTGCTATGTATTTATTTTAAGACACTCTAATAATTTATTTTAAGCAAATATTGAGTTTATCTCTTTTTTCATTTATTTAAACATCTTGCTTTAAAGTATTGTCAGAGGAAAACATGATGGTATTTAAGGTAGCCCCACGATCTGAATAAGAGGTTATATGTTTTCTCAGTCCTATAATATTTTGAGGTAAATTTTAGGCTATTGATTTTTATAAACTCTATGCAGGCTGGGCCGTGTGGGTCATGGCTGTAATCCCAGCACTTTGGGAGGTAGAGGTGAGAGGATTGCCTGAGCCCATGGGTTCAAGACCAGCCTGGGCAACTTGGCGAGACCTCATCTCTACTACAAATTAAAAAACTAGCTGGGTGTGGTGGCATGCACATATAGTTCCAGCTACTTGGAAGGCTGAGGCGAAGGATCACCTGAACCCAGTGGCATGAGGCTGTAGTGGCCGTGAGCATGCCACTGCACTCCAGCCTGGGCGACAGAGTGCGACTCCGACGCAAAAAACAAAACAAAATAAAATGAAAAACACAAAAAAACTCTGTACAGTATTTGGAAATTAGTTATATAGGTCTATACTTGAGTAGTCATTGACAAGTAGATGTATCTTTAATGTCTATTTCTTTTGTGGGGGGGTGGAGATTCTTGCCCTGTCACCCAGGCTGGAGTGCAGTGGCTTGACCATGCCTCACTGCAATTTTGGTCTCCTGTGCTCAAGTGTTCCCTCTGTCTCAGCCTCCTGAATAGCTGGGCCTATAGGTGTGGCTACCACATCTAGCTAATTTTTTTATTTTTGTAAAGAAGAGTTCTTGCTATTTTGCCTAGGCTTGTGTCAAACTCTTGGGCATGAGCAATCCTTCTGCATTGGTCTCCCAAAGTGCTGGGATTACAAGTAGGAGCTACTGTGCCCGACCTCATGGAAATATGTATTCAATAGCAGATCAATAATCCTAGACATATAAATAGCAGTTTAGTTTATGGATGTTAACTAAAATGAAATTGTTTGACATTTTTTATTCATCTGTTAACTATTTACATTAACTATTAATTATTTTTGTAATCTCCAGCACTGAGGCCCAGTTTTTAAAAAAATCTGGACAGAAAGCATATCTGTTTTATTAAGTTACATACAGGTAAAGTTAGGCTAGTCTCTTCTTGGCTTAATGTCATTACAGATTTCAAAAGGAAATGAAGTAGTTTAACTTTTAATCATGATTATTGTTTCTCCTGTACTCTGAGGATTTCCATATTGAAGGAATATCCATTGACCAGTGCTACTGGAAGGGCACATAAGAGGACTTTACATGATAAATGTATATTTATTATCCTACTTTTACGGTTATTGCTTTTAACAATAGAACTAGCTTAAGTATTGAGGTAATAGGTTTTTAGAATCAGACACCTAAGTTCAAATGCTGATGATTATTAGTGAGACTTTATGAAATAGCCTAACTTCTCAGATTTTCAGATTCTTTGATAGAATAAAATGGTAATATCTACCTCAAAGGGTCGTTGGCAGTAGTAACTAATTAAGAACTTACTCTGGTACGTGACACATAGTATGTATGCCCTTGTACATAGTAGCTATCATCATTATCAGCTAATTCAGCTTTTGATGTTACATTGTCTCATTTAATTACCAACACCACCACCACCTCTCCACTCTACACAAACCAGAGAGCAGTTTATAACCAATTCAGAACTAAGGCCTCAGAACTAAGTTGATAAGGTTTAAGGAGAGTTTTTCAAAATATTTCCTTGAGTTTTTCATTAACTCATGCTCACACTATTGTCATTTCATTAAACTGATAAGGATGAAATCCAGCAATGGTAGTATAAAAAGTAAGATATGAATTCTAAGAGTAATACAGCATTTTTACTTATAAATACTATAACAATATTAATAAAGCTATTTTAGAGCAATACATTTAGGTCTAAGATATAATGAATAGAAGTCATTGTTCTAGGCCATTTACCTTCCCTATGCCTTTTAGTGGTGCTAAAAGTAAAACCTTTCAGTGGTGTAAAAGTAAAAAAAATAGTTGACAAATTCTTTTGGCATAACTATTATTAAAGTGAAGCAATTAGAACTGCTCTTTCTGTTGTATTATAATCTCTTTTGGCTGATGTTGCCAGTTTGTGACTTTTTTACCTAGTTGGTTTTTTTTTTTGAGTTGGAGTCTTACTCTGTCACCCAGACTGGAGTGCAGTGGCCACTCCCGGCCACCGCAGCCTCGACCTCCTGGGCTCTGGCAATCCTTCCGCCTCAGCCTTCCAAGTAGCCAGAATTACAGGCATGCACTACCACGCCCGACTGATTTTTTTTTTTTATTGTAGAGATGAGGTCTCACTGCCCAGACGGGTCTTGAACCTGCGGGCTCAGGCAATCTACTCACCTCAGCCTCCCAAAGGTGCGGGATTACAGGCTGAGCCACCGAGCCCGGCTCCTAGTCAGTTTTTAAGTATTCTTGATGCTGATCTTTAATCTAATTTCAGTATCTTGGGATAAGTGGGAAAAATATGCTTTAATACACTATTTTCTTATATTTGCATCTAGTTACATTTAAATCATTTTAATTTTAGGTAGTGAGACAATTTCGTGATGGTGGTTACAACACATTGGTTTCTACCTGTGTTGGTGAAGAAGGTTTGGATATAGGGGAAGTTGATCTTATAGTATGTTTTGATGCCCAGAAGAGCCCAATTCGCCTGGTGCAACGAATGGGTAGAACAGGCCGCAAACGTCAAGGAAGGATTGTTGTTATCCTTGCTGAAGGGCGAGAAGAACGTGTAAGTAGACTTGTAGAAATATGAATTGACAATTGAAATTTGAGAAGTACTGGTCAAAGACAAATATCAACATTTCAGCTTTTTGTTTTTAGTTGGAGTCTCATCCCTTTGTTACCCAGGCTGGAGTGCAGTGGCACACTCACGGCCAACGCAACCTCAGCCTGCTGGGTTCGGTGATCCTTCCTCCTCAGCCTTTCAAGTAGAGCAATTTTTTCCCTTTTCTTTTCTTTTCTTTTGGGGTCGTAGTCTCATTCTGTTGCCTGAGCTGGTGTGCAGTGGCGCATTCTGAGGCTCAAGTGATCCTCCCAACTCAGCCTCTCAAGTAGTTGGGTCTACAGGTGCATTCCACCATGCCTGAAATATTTAGAATTTTTGTGGAGATGGAGTCTTACTATGTTGCCTAGGCTGGTCTCAAACTCCTAGGCTCAAACAATTCTTTCACCTCAGCTTCCGAAAATGCTGGAATTAGAGGCGTGAGCCACCATGCCTAGCTCATTTTAGCATTCTAAGTCCGAACTATCTATGGGTAATTGTAATTTATTTTTCTCCCCTTCACATTGAATTCTGACTATCCTTTTCTTGTAATTAGGAATTTTTCACTAGATTCTGTTTCCTAATTTTTATCCACATGAAGAAACATATTTTAGACTTAAGTTTTTGTTTTTTCTCACTCTTTCACCCGGGCTGGAATGCAGTGGTGGCATACTCATGGCCACCACAGCCTCGACCTGCTGGCTCAGGTGATCCTTCCTCCTCAGCCTTCTAAGTAGCTGGAACCACAGGCACACACCACAACTCACGGCTTATTTTTTGATTTATTGTAGAGATGAGGTCTTGCCAAGTTGCCCAGGCTAGTCTTGAACCCGTGGGCTCAAGCAGTCCTCTTACCTCTGCCTCCCAAAGTGCTGGAATTACATGTGTGAGCCACCGTGCTTGGCTTAGACTTAAGTATTATTTCAGAGATAACTAGACACTAAAACCAATAGGTATTGCTTTGTTTTACTTCTTCCCTGTACTTCTAATGCCTGTGTTTTGTGTTTTGTCTTCTTTTTGAGCTATAGCAATCTGAGAATTGTTTACATTTTAAAAGGTTGCCAAAATAACTAAGTGAATAAAAGCCAAAGAATATTTACCAGAGACAGTATATGACCTGGAAACCCTAAAATATTTACATTCTGGCCCTTTATTAAAGTTGGCTGCGGCCTGTTCTAAGTGATAAAGAATTTGAATTAAATTCATACTTTGCTACAGTCTTGTGTGACAGGCCTTCCTAAATGTAATGTTACATGTGTTTGTTATACTAATATATTAATTAATTTTTGTAATTCATTGAGACTAGTTCAGTGGCCAAATATATAGTTTCACATCGAAGGTCTTCTCATTAGCTATAATCGTTTTTTTGTTTGTTTGTTTTTTGGGGGGTTTTATGAGTTGGAGTCTCACTCTGTTGCCCAGACTGAGTACAGTGGCACACTCCTGGCCACTGCAGCCTCTACCTGCTGGGCTCTGGCGGTCCTTCTGCCTCAGCCTTCCAAGTAGCCGGAACTGTAGGCATGCGCTACCACGCCCAGCTAATTTTTGATTTATTGTAGAGATGAGGTGTCACCAAGTTGCCCGGGCGGGTCTCGAACCCATGGGCTCAGGCAATCCACTCGCCTTGGCCTCCCAAAGTGCTGGGATTACAGACTGAGCCACCGAGCCCAACCAGCTATGATTGTTTTTAAAAATTGATTTGAAATGTTTTATATACTGTTGAAAATTATCCTGGAAAATGAATTCTTTTTCCTAATACTTTTCATGTGAGTATTCCATATTCGTATATAATATCCAGTTTATCTATAAAATAATCCTAATAAATAGAATGTTTGGTGGCTCATAAGAGACCATGTATTATCAGTGAGTGGAACTGGGTCCTAACTAATTTTACCTAGCTAAGTTACCTAACCTCTCTATTCAGATGTCAGTTTTCTTATCTGTAAAATAGTAATAATGGCCCACATTTAGTGAGTATTTACTCTGTTCTGTGCATTATTCTAAGTGCTTCAGATTCATTATCTTGTTTAATCCTGTCAGCACCCTGTAAAGGGAAGTCATGCTTGTTGTTATATTCAGTAAAGGAAACTGAAGTATAGAGAGATGAATACACTGACATAAGGGATTAGTTTATAAAAACAAAACAACCTTACACTTATATGTAAATGTCAACCCTATTTAAAAACAGCAAGATAGTTAATAAAGAAATAGTTGCTAAGGTAGACTTTTATAATAATAGATTTTGAAATGATTTTCATCAAGGATTAATCTAATAGTTTACTGATAGGTTTTAAAATTCAAGCAACATAAATTCTATTCTCTAAGTATTTAATCGGATCAGGGTTTAATTTTATATTTGCAATAAGTCCAAGCTAATATAATAATTACTTGTGGATAAATGGGTATTTTATAAATAACATGTAATTTGACATTTTACATTTGTTTTTACAGATTTATAATCAGAGTCAGTCCAACAAAAGAAATATTTGTAAAGCTATTTCAAGTAACAGGCAGGTCCTTCATTTTTACCAAAGAAGTCCACGAATGGTTCCTGATGGAATCAATCCAAAATTACACAAAATGTTCATCACACATGGTGTCTATGAACCAGAGAAGCCTTCTCGGAATTTGCAGCGTAAGTCATCTATCTTTTCCTACAGGAATGGAAAATGAAAAATTTTGCATTTGACACATGCATCCCCCCCTGCATTCTTAGTTAGTGGGTCATAATTTGATATAATATTTCTTCATTGAAAACTCAGTGTACATTCTAGGATGTTATGGGCATTCTAAGAGATTGTTCATGTGGCAAAGAGAAGGAGAGACACTGGCAGTTCAGAATGATAGAAACTCAGTGTTAGGGAAAATTAAACATCTCTTACCAACACAGAGAATTCTTTCCACAAAGTATAGAAAGGAGAGAAAGCGCCTGTAATCCTGCGCCTTTGGGAGGCTGAGGTGAGTGGATTGCCTGAGCCCGCGGGTTCGAGACCCGCCTGGGCAGCGAGACCTCATCTCTACAATAAATCAAAAAATCAGCTGGGCGTGGTAGCGCATGCCTGTAATTCCGGCTACTCGGAAGGCTGAGGCGGAAGGATCGCCGGAGCCCAGCAGGTCGAGGCTGCGGTGGCCGGGAGCGGCCACTGCACTCCAGTCTGGGCGACAGAGTGAGACTTC